GGAAGAGAGGGCGTGCGTATACCTTTGGCGGTAATTTTAGTTGCTTGACAATTTGGCACCGTCTACACCAAATAGAAAACCACGCCGTCGACCTGCGCGCGCGTGTTAGTGAAAAAAGTGCAAAACGACAAGGGAGGAGAGAAGATGGGACGAGGAAGCGGAGAAAAGAAGAAAGAAGAGAACGAAGAGAAGTCGTTGACGGAGAGTCGCGGCGCGCGCGATAATCTATTTGCTCCTTTCGTAGACTAACGGGAGAGCAGAGAGAGAGAGAGAGAGAGAGAGAGAGAGAGAGAGAGAGAGAGAGAGAGAGAGAGAGAGAGAGAGAGAGAGAGAGAGAGAAAGAGAGAGCCGTCCTATTTATATCCACGAGAAACTTGTAGACCAGTATTGTGCAACTCGCATAGCTTTCCATAGGGTGTCCCATTGTGTCCGGATCGCGGTGGAGGGATACGAGACGGAGATCAAACGAGGAGACACGACACGGGTGTTTCGTTACCGCGACGCATTCATAGTTACGACGTTAACGTTGAAAATTGAAGCCTTCAGAGTCAAGCCGAAAGCTCGAAAAGCGCCGGCGAAGAAGGCAACTGGAGCATTTTTCAGCGCGTAAACCTCAGCTCGACGCAATTTCCGATCCGACTATCAAGATGCGCGAACAATTGGGAATTACAGCGCGGCGTGTTCCGATATGGAGGAATAAAATTCACATGTATGTCCAAAGCGACATACGCGCTGCGAGCGAGCGAGACGGAGAGAGTGAGGAGGAGTCCGGCGGAAAGGCGAACCGTAGCCGCGAGCGAAAAATCGCGCGTCCGCGCGTACAAACAATCATCCATTCATTTAACAATGCACGACTCGCGCCGCCGTTCAAGGCCATTGCATCGCGGTTCAAAGAGCTCGCGCGTAGCGTCGCCTCGCCAACAGAGTCGCGACCATTTCGCCAAAGGTTAGCGACTTAGAATAATCTATATTGTTCCTCCGCCCTGGCCGCGCGCGCTCCAAGACTCGCGTGCGCGCTTTAACACGCTAGAAAATATCGGTTACCGTGGCGGTGGTATTTCGTAATTCGCGACCGTTCGTCCAAGTATGATTATCGAGAGGGAACGCTATAAACGCGACGCGATAAACGCGACGGTGCACTTTGTGATAATCGAAAGATTACGCCGGACTCGTATCGTCATCCTCGTCGTTCTCAACGTCTCGCTCGCAACGTCGTGCGCGCGCTATAATTAAGATAGCGATAAATGTGGGAAAAAACGCGATATGAAATATGCCATCGCGGCGCATTCGAGAGAGATCCTGTCCGAGGGCGAACATCGTTTTTTCAAACGCAAGAAAGACACATGCGCGTTCTTTTTTGCTCCTTGACCGCCGTTTATGACTCACGATAAGATAAAAATCAAGAGATAGCCCGCGATATATCTAACAAAAGTCAAAGTGTTCAAATCCGTCCCAGAGGGATCCGAATATCGGATTTATCGGAATACAACGATTACCGGCTACCGGTTCTTCGGCTTGACTGACTCTCTCTCTCTCTCTCTCTCTCTCTCTCTCTCTCTCGCTCGCACGAGCACGTTCGAGGAAGAGAAACGAGCTGACTGGCTGACCGACCGACCGACCGACCGGCAGGAACGAGAGGAGCGGAACGGGTACGGAGAGAAGGAGAAATACAGCCTGCACCTGCTGGCTGCAGCAAGCAGGAGTGACTTTCCGCTAAACTGTACGTCAGGTCAGAGTCGACCCTACCGATTGGGGGTCGGCGTTTACCTGCGTTACCTGCATCCGCCGGACATCTTGAGTTATGACGTCGAGTTAAACGAGAGGAAGTTTCTCGCGCACGTTCGAACACGTCGAAGTCGAGTTGCTTGAGAACACGCTCGAGATTTCACGGCAAGTTCGAGCGAGCGTATATGCCACGTGGAAAATCGCGACGCAACGCGGGCCGGTTTGCTCTCTCGTCGATATTTCGCGCAGTCGATTCGCAAAAAGTGTGCGCCAGAGCTTCCCCGTCCTGCTTTGGCCGCTGGCTTTCGCTTTCGACGACTTATCGGTCGGCATTGCACGAATCTCTCTCTGCCGCGCCGGCGCTTTTTCGCGCGATAGTCCTCTCTCTCTCTCCTCTCTCCTCTCTCTCTCATCGGGCGACAAGTTATTTGATACCGAAAAAAACCGCTATAAATGGCGGTTGAATTTTTTCGTCTCCGTCGGTCGCTTCCGGCGTCATCATTTCCAGCTCAAGCGTTGCGCGCCGAGCCTTGGAGAAGAAAACGTGTTATTCGCCCGGATGGCTCGCAAAAATTTCATCCCGCCGCCGCGCCGGGGGGAAGCGGACGCTTTTGCGTATCGTAACGGAAATTTATAATTTCACCGGCCAACGTAGAACAAACGTAACCGTTCTCGGTGCCGATCGGTGCCGCACGAGCTCTACTCGAGACACGCTGTTTGTAGAAAGTGGAAGCGAATCGCAAATGTTAGCACAATTGGTTGCGGCGACGTGGCCGCGGAAAATAGAGAAACGCCCGAGGTGTATGTGTGTGCATCGCGCTCGCGCGCGCGTAAGAGGCGGATATGAAAATATCGCGCGATGTGAATCCCGTATTATGGCGTCAGCGGTCTCACTCGGATTTTCGACGACTCTCGGACACGCGTAAACGACCGAGCGATGACACAGGGACGTCACGCGAATATAAAATATCGCGTTCAAAAATATCTACGCTCTCCTCCCACTCGTTCATGTCCAGTTTTCTCTTTTCGTTCATTACCCCCTCGCGAGACCTTTGGTTATTAAATTACCCCCTCGCGAGACCTTTGGTTATTAAATTGCTTCACATTCTTACGCGCGCCGATCTCTATCCGAGTCATCTCCATACGAGTATACGAGTATGCGCGCGCGCGCACGGTTAATGGACGTGTAATTAAAACGCGAACCACGTGTTTTGCGCACCATTTGATCCCCCGACCGCGAGCAGTAATCGGAAAAGCGCGTAATTTCCAGCCCCGCCATCGGCGATACATCGCGGAGCACGCGCGCGTATCCCCGGGGCGGGCAAGCAGGCTACCGGAGAGTATTTTCGAGCGATTTCGTCATCGGCTTGACGAAACGTCTGCCGAAAATGTAATCGACCAGCATCGGTCCGTTATCAAGTCGGATCTATCTCCGGAGAAAGGAAGCGATGGCTGCTTATTTGTCGTATAACGAATCTTTATCTCCATGATTAACTACGCACAGATACCGAAGCGGCCATTCGACACACATCACAAACACGCACACGCACGCACACGCACGCGTGTGTGTGAGATACGTGGGACAAGCGTACTGTGCAATCACGGTGGCTCTTATCAGCAAACTGTAAACAAAGGACACGCGATATTTATAGATCGGCCGGATAACGGCCCGTATCGAATGTGAGATATCGATAACCCGAGTTTCATTATTCATCGACCGTCACGGGAGCAAATAGACGAAATGAAATATTCACGGCTGTTATCGCTCGCGCGAGTTGCTTGTCAGAGGGAATGAAAATAAGAGAGCGCGCTGCGCTTTCGCGCAGGCGGTCTTCTGCGAAGAAGATTCCCCTGATTGCGAATTCGCAATCAAACTTTGTCGGCGCGTGAAAGTAAGACTGCGACGCGTACGACTCGAAAAAGAGCGTGAGGGGGAATTTTGTTGACGTTCGAGAAGAACCCGAGGAGTTCGGCGCTTTAATTAGAGGGAACGACTGAGCGCGCGCGCGCACGCGACGTGAACCCAACGCGTCAAAGATCGCGACGCGACCTTTCGTAAACGGCGCATGTACTTATTTATATATGCAGCGCGAATAATTCGTTCGCCGGCGTTAAATAATCAGTTCGCGAACTCTGTATCCTCCCATCGGCAAATATATCTCCCGCTATCGACGCGCGAGAGTGTCCAAGTGAAAAAAATACACGGCGACAAAAGCGCCGAGACGTGTATAAAAGTAATCCTCTCAAATACACCGTGCATGCGCTCTTCCTGGTCGACCTGCTGCACGAGTCATTTATCATAAGAAGAAAATAATAAAAAAAGAAGAAAGACGCGGACGATTAATTTTCGCGGATCAATCATGGCACTAAATTTCTCCCTCGATTAGCATCGCAGATAGCACGGTGATAACCGTGTCCTATCAATATCTTTCAGGAAGGTAATATCAAGAGCGATATCGATGCACTCGGTGTACCGAATAAGTATCGACAGCCCGTTACATTGACGCGTCCTCTGCATACACGGCCGCGTCTCGTTGCCCGGCCGTCACGATAACAAGTTGTCTGATTAAATTTATGTAACGGTGCATTATGTCTCGCGCGCGCGCGCGCGCGCACACGGCGTTGCCCGTAAAATTATTTTCGATAACCCACCGTGATAACGTCGCGGCGCGAACTCGCACCGACTGTCGCTTGGCATTTTTCCCTTCGCCTTCGTTAGCGATCGGTCACGCTCCGATGGGAAAGATTTTAAGCCCGAAATTACCGCCGCGATTCCGCGAGAGAGATTACGCGAGCACGGCTCCCTTTTTCTTCAACTCGGCGAATCCGCGCGCGAAAGTACGACAGAGAGAGAGAGAGAGAGAGAGAGAGAGAGAGAGAGAGAGAGAGAGAGAGAGAGAGAGAGGGAGGGAGAGCCGGGAAATTAGACGCGGCGCGATGAGTCTGCGAATTCATCGCCGTGTGCGTTATCGTCGCGCGACGAGATTGAACGTGGATTAAAAATAAATTGCCATAATCGCGCAACTACCTGGCGCCGCTACCTGGAAAACGATCTCTTCCCGTTAGTCAAGATCGCTCAGGGAGAGAGTGAACTGTGCGTTTTTCCAAGTCCTTTTGGCGGGCGTTGTTTTCCATGTGTTTCCGTTTAAACTTGCGACTTTACGCAATCGACATGTGCGGCTTTATACTTAAAAAAAAATCACTCGAAATGAGGGTCGCAATGCACGCATACACGCGTATTACCATAATTATTCAGCGCTTTGCATACAACGCACCTCTACTTTTGAACTCACGCCGGGAGAGACAAGAATCAAGAGTCGGCAACTGCTGAGCGAGCATACTTTCTTTACATTGTCCTGCACGTAGCATTTTCAGTTGGCAGCGTAGCGTACTTTTGAGTCGAGCAATAGGTTGAAAAGCGAAACGGAGCTTCCTGTCGAAGCTTCTCCTCCACGGAGCTCGTCGCAGCGACGGATTTGTATTCTAGGTGCTCGATCAGGTATGCGCCGCGAGCGCGAGGAAGACACATAAACAATAGCGTGACGATCGCGCGCAGCTGTTCGCGAGTGAGTGTGCCTCGTCCTGCGAGGCGTCCGACGGCGGCGAAACAGCGTCTCGCGAAGTAGTAGGTTGCTTAGCTAGAGGGAAAGAAAAAACCGGCTGCAGCCGCGTTCGCGAGGAGCACTCTCGCGAGCGTATTCGCGATCGCGATGGCAGACGGAGCGAAGAGGAGAGCGAGAGCGAGGAAAGAGAAGAAGAGAGGACTGAGAGAGACAGACAGAGTGCCGGAGAGCTCTCGCACGCACTCACTCACTCACTCACTCACTCACTCACTCAGTCACTCACTCACTCACCCACTCACTCACACACGCACGTACGCACTCACACACGCAGTATACACCTACACACAGGGACACGATAAAAAGAGAAACTCACTCCAGAAATAATGCACAGTATCCATCCAAGCCGCGGTGGCGAAGGTGGGATGTTGCTTCCTCCGGGATTATCAAGGCGCGTTAGAGCGAGCGTGTACAACAAAACGACACCGCGTTCACGTTCTCTAAGTCCGCGCGACGACGCAGCTGCCCGCCGCTCTCCTCCTCCACCTCCTCCACCTTCTCCTCGTCGTCGTCGTCGTCGTCGTCGTCGCCGTCGTCGTCGTCGTCGTCGGCGTGGTCCGCGACGACGACAACACCACCACAACTAACACACCGTCCTCGTCGCTGCGACGAAGACCGCGCTTCGCAACAACGTTCACGAAAGTTGTAGCGTCGCGTAGCCGGCCACGAAGATGAGCCCGCGCGCGGGATCTTCCCAGTTAATTCTCACACTCCGCGACACTCACCGCTGCGCGACTCCTCCCGATGAGAAAGTCCAGTCTCGCGCGTCGCGTCGCGACGCCTGCCGCGTGCATTACCCTGCGTGCGACTACACACGTTTTTCCCGCGTTCCCGCTCCGGCCTTCCGGTTTACGCACGCATACGCGGGCAAAGAGTCAGTCGGTCGGACAGACGGATGGATGGATGGATGGATGGATGGATGGATGGTTGGATGGATGGATGGTGGATGGGTGGGTGGATGAATACACGTACGCACGGACTCGTAAGAACGAACGGGGACGGACAGACGAAGCAACGATGACGAACGCGCGTGGCGACGAGAGACGGACGACAAGAGGAGAGTACACAAGACGCGTGGAGGAGCGACGCGCACGCTGCTGCGTGTATACGTACGGATAAACGCGCGCGGCCGGAGGGACGATTGATGACGGCAGACACAAAGATGTACACTTCGCCTCTCTCTCTCTCTCTCTCTCTCTCTCTCTCTCTCTCTCTCTCTCTCTCTCTCTCTCTCTCTTTCTCTCTCTCTCTCTCGTCCGGAGAAGCCAGAAATAATTCCGGCTCTTTCGCGCTCTCTATCTCTCTTTGCCTCCCTCTTTCTTTCTTCTCTCTAATCTGTCTCTCGGTGTCCGAGAGGTTTTCCAAGCCCGCGCGTTGCGACGAGCACGACACGATGCGTCGCGTACGTTCGCGCGCGCCGACACTTTTCAAAACAATATACAACTACACCAACCAGCGCACATCTCACCCCGTGTGCTCGCTTTAAGCGCTTTCTCGCGCCACCGCGCGCGCCACTCCGCGGCTACCCTATTCGTCTCTGTCTCTCCCTACCACCACCCCTCTCCACCTCGATATCTCTCTATCTACCTATCTGTCTGTCTGTCTCTCTCCCTCTGCTCCTACCTTCCACTGTTCTCTCTCTCTCTCTCTCTCTCTCTCTCTCTCTCTCTCTCTCTCTCTCTCTCTCTCTCTCTCTCTCTCCCTCCCTCTCTCTGGCTTACACCAACGCGGTTTTTCCGCACGCACACGCTGCCGCGGATCAATAATTCACCATACGAATTCACCAGAAGCGGGCGAGCGACGGAGCGACGACGCGAGCCAGAGCGTGAGAGCGCGACACACGAATGAGCGAGCAGTCGGTCGGACCAACGAACGAACGAACGAACGAACAAACGTACGCACGTACGTACGTACGCACGTACGAACGTATGTGCGAGCGAGCGAGCGAGCGACCGAGCGAGCTGGCAGACGGGCGACTAGGCGGTGAGCACGCGTTTCTGTCAACGGCGCCTCGCGCGCCGGCAGCGAGGAAACGCGCACGCAGCTTACCGCACACCACCGCACCGTTCCGCACACATAGCCACCGATGAGCGACGGTCGTGTACGCGAGAGAGCGAGAGCGAGGGAGACAGGGAAAGAGGGCCGCCCTAACCTCCACGGCGAGTCGTGTCGCGCCGAATCCGCTCGTGCGCGCGATACGCGCACGTACACCACACGGTGGAGAATCGCGCGCCCCGCGCGCGCTCGTAACCCCGGCTGACACACAGCTGACACAGCGACGCACGCTCATAAACACGAAGAGCCGTGGATAGACTCACGACATCGAATGCTCCGCGCGTAAACAGCTCTCTCTCTCTCTCTCTGTACAGAGAGCCACGCCGGCACGGAAGATGGCCAGTCGTCTCGTTCTCGATCTCTCGTCGACTTTGCTCGTGGACAATGCCAAGTTTCTTTGTCTCCTTTCCCGTCCCTCTTTTGCCCTTTCTCTACTGCTAGACGTACATCAAATTTTTTCTTCTGGCTTTCTCTCTCTCTCTCACGCGTTTGTACCTTCATTCGGAGCGGGTAAAACGCAACCGGTAACGCGCGCGCCCTCCACCGGAAGTACGGCTTTGACAAGTGCGTCCGAACGCGCAATGAGTGTCGGTCGGTTTCGCGGATAATAACGGCCTCGTGTATTCGTTCGCTCGTGTAGTCTTCTCTCTTTTGCGCGCTCGTTGGCTCGCTCTCGCTCTCGTTCTCTCTCTCTTTCTCTCACACAAAGAACACACACGCTGCTCACTCAACCCGGGCCTCTGTCTCTGTCTCTCACCTTTCCGTCTGACGCATGGCGTCCCTCGCTCCCTCTGTCTCGCTCTCTTTCGTTCGTCGGTCCTATCCGTCCGTCGGTCCGTCCGTGTTTCTCTCTCTCTCCGCGGGTAATATCGCTGCTGTCGTACCCGTTTCGTACGCGGCGGCCTCCGGTGCGGGACGACGCCGACCGCCGTCGAGCAACACACGGGCGTGGACGCGCTCTTTCGCGAACGGCATTTCACCACTGTTTTGTATCGTGTACTTACCACTGGGCGAGCTGTGTGACGTGGCGGCACGCGCACGAGCGCGGGGGCGGCCTTTATTTTCGCGAGCGAAATTCACACGGTGTTATATTAGCGCGCAGGACTGCACCCCGGTAAATACGAGCACGGTCACCACTCTTGTTTTTGGTATGCCAGGAATGATATAAAGAATCCAGACAACGCACACGCCTGCTGCGCAGCCGGTCTGCGCACACGCTGACACCGCTTAGGCGGCCGCGGGAGAAACCAGAATCCGATCGTGACCGACGACGGCCGAAGCCACACGAAGCCGACCGACTGTCCAATCCTCACAGAACGAACCCCCACTTTACCTAACCCCGAATGAACCCCGCACCCCGCGTACGAGGTGGATCAGTCATGTCACGCACGCAATAGAGGTTGGATGGAGATTCGCCCGCTTGCTTGCTCCTTCGTTCGTTCACTCGCTCTCACTTGCTCGCTCGCTCGCTCGCTCGCTTACTCACTCGCTCACTCACTCACTCGCTCACTCACTCAGTCGCTCGCTCGACCGTTCACTCTCTCGTTCCGGATTCGAGGAGCACTTGTTGAATTTCAGGGGTTGCATTTTAGGCTTTGCAAATGAGAGCGTTAATAAATGAGAACGTAACGCATCATCGCGGCTCCGAGAGGAAGCTCGTACTGGTCAATTAACGCGTCTCTCGTGCATCCCGAGTGACGGATGTATGGACAAATTAAAATGCACCATTCGCTGCATAACGCGCGAAATAAAAACACGGGGAATGTTCTCTCCTCGTTTTGTCATTCATAGCGACGTGAATTATTTCCAAACACTGGGAGGAATACTTGAGTATTTTGCGATACACTCAGCGCCTAGTTAGATTGGCCAGTAACGTAACGCGTAATATGGTATCGCATATTTATAACCGTAATCGGCAATTAATTTATGATTCATAAGCTCTTAATTTGCCTCTGTATAATTATAGCGGATTTCAAAAGAACCGTTCGTTAAATATGCATTTAAACAGGCTGATTTGTTTGGAAAAAAAATATTCTCGCGTATCTTACGTCAGCAAACTAGATTTGGCATTAAATATGCAGAATATCGACGAATATTACGTCAGCCACACGCGGATCAATCTATATCTGTTTTCGGAAATAATTAATGCGCGTGTTTAGGAGCAGAGTGTTTCGGATAAGATACAAGACGGAATCCATTTGTACGCTTAATGGATTCGAGGGACCATCAGCTGGCTGCCGCAAAGGGAAACTGATTCGTTGCAAGTGCATCGGCTTAAGATTGTCTGCTGACATTTTCCCAGCTAAACCGTCCCCGACCGGCTCATTGTATTCTCATTCATTCATATTATCCAAACTTAAATCATACTAGTGTACCTTCAATTGTTCAAAAGAATGAAATGCAACATTTCCCACGAAAATACAAAGTGCAGGTAGACTCGAGACTGGTCACACAAAAGAGATGCACATATGCGTTTCGAATTAGTGTATCCAATTTACCGTTTGCCTCCTATTTAGTATCGATAGATTTACGATTATAAAATGCAAGCAAAAATGTGAAATGTATTTTTATTATTGTTTGCTTGCGCAAGAGATAAATAAATAGAGAGATTTGTCTTCTCGATTTTTACTCCTCTTCATTAAAATCTCTTTCCCCTTTTGTTCCTCTAAAGAGACCTCCCATATGATTTCTGTATTACATTTTGTATTACAGTTGCACCGATACACGAAAATGATTCAATAAACGACGCGAACAGCCTTTCGAAAATATTATTATACGAGAGTACATCGGTGTCCCAAAAAAAAAGGAGAAAAAAACACGACGTAGATTAATAACGACAATGTCAAACAAGCGCGCTCTCCCGCGAACCAAAACACAGCGTACGAAAATAATGCCCGGAGCTGTTAACTTTTGCGACTCGTACAAAGCCCGCCGTAATTAATGCCTTTAAACGTTTGCCGCGCAATGAGCTCCTTTTGTCGGTCGGCTGCATTGTGCCGCACAAAAGTTTACAAACGGGCCAACGCGACGTGGCAAAGCGCGACGCGAAGGGGAGGGGAGGGGAGGGACGGGACACGGGACGCGTCGCGTCGCGACGCGCCGCGCCGCTGGAGCTGGAACGTTGAAACGGGGGTTTTGGACGTGGTGTTGTGTGCGCCGCACGTTAAATGGAAACGGCAGCAGGCACCCCGATTTCGCCCACTTCGCACGCTTTAATTACTTAATTACGTTAACGCTCGATTTCCGCCGTTCGAACTTCTGCACGCGGCTCGTCGCGCGAAAACGAGTCGCTCGTTTTGGGCGCGACCTTCCGCTTCGCACCTTTGAGCCTCGCGCGGGTGTAACGCGATCGCAAAATATATATCCTTAAACGCGATAAGCGTTAAACTTGCACGGGTTTGACACGGGAAGTATCAAACTCCGACTCGACGATGACGAATGCCTACGTCTTCGACTTCATCGCGAATTTTGCCAAAGGACTCTCGAGAAGCTCGATGACGAACGATTTCGCGCAATTCTCCAATTACTTCCACGCAATGCTCGCGCAAGCAGGATGACCGACGAAAGGGATCTATTCCGGTAATCGGCCGAGACTCCCGTTAGCCGCCGATCGATTCGCTCGAACTCCAAGAGCTTCCTTTATTCCGGGGCGCGCAGCTATCTCTGCTGACGTAACCTGAATTTGCGGTATCGGAAGCACACGTAGTCGCGTGCACACGTGTCGTTGGCGTGATAAAAGGCGAGTTATAACCCGATATCCGTACGTCGCGTTCTTTTCTCTCTTTGTCGCGAGGCTCCAAGAGATCACCACGCGCAACTACACAATAATAGAAATATATAATAACAGAAATTCCGTCAAGTACTCAAGATTCGCAAATGCGATGGCGCGCCGGCCGACATCACGCGTTTCCCTAACGGTAATCGGAGGAGACGAAGGCGCGAAGGAGCTTTAATATCATAGAAAAAGAACGGTCGAGGAGCGGAGAATGCGCGCGCGGAGGAGCTTATCTCATTTGAATGCGCGGGAACCGCGCGCGGCAGGACTCCCTCCTGCCGGTCGCGATCAAATTGACAATTATCCCGCTCTTTATGCCCTGCCACTTATTCGAGCTATTTCGACCCGGGCGCACACGGCGCGGCCGCGGTATGCCGCGGAGCCTATTTAATCGTCGATAGTCGCAAAGTCGTAAAACTACCGCGCGACTGCCGTCGCCGGTGCTGGTTCGCGTGACGTTCGCCGACGATAACTAATTACGAAAGAGCTGGAACAATGACGGCCGCCGTTCCCGCCGCGCATTCGGGAAACCGTTACGCCACCCGGGGGATCGCCGCAACCGCGGATATTTGGAGAAAGAAAGAAATATTTATATACATATATCTGCCGGCTCTCCATTCTCCGTTCTCTGAAAAATAGCGTCGAGCGCACACGCGCGAGATTTCACATTATGCAACGATGCACTTTGCATTCGGTCGTGTATCTGCTGACTTACCTGTAGGTTGACTTGCAGATAGGTTCATCGACACAGCGCGTCGGCGCTCCGCACCTGACTCCTGCAAGAAATCTGCAGCGTCGTCGAGTCGGCATCACGAGTGTCCTTCCGCGCGAGGAGCCCGATGTACACGCCTGCAAAAAAGAACAAAAAAAGAAACAGGTGAATTAAACAAGAAGCGGTTTGCAAAATTACGTGCATACGCTCTCTCGTCTCGTTGCGACGCCGTTGCGTCTGTAATAAACTTAACACGTCGAGCACGAAAAAGGAATGGAAGCAAGTTTGGAAGTGTGGCCAGATCAATTCTCGACGATTCAACGATTGGAAAGTATACGCAACTTTTGACGGAAATTTTCGTCTGCCGCTACTATTCTTTCTTTCGTAGGAATCTGAGAGCAACCGTAAGAAAACGTTGATGAACACTCGTGCGCTCGTGCGACGAGCGAACAATGCGCAGAGAGGATTAGCAGAAAGTCACGATGTGTAGCTCTTGTCACATCGCACAGTCGCAATTGGGAACGGCCGTCGACACGGTGTCATCTCGCACGAGATGCATCCATTGTACGCGTATTGTTTGGAGTTGCATCGTCTGTTAGTCGGAGGGATAGCTAATCCCAGTCCGCGTCTAAATTCGTGACGTCATAACAATGCTCAGCTTGGACATTGCATTAACCGAGGCAAGGCCCAAACACATCGTACAATTACGGTCAAAATTATAAGCACACGTGCGATAATACTGGTTCGTCGTGAAATTGTAGAGAGTCGTGACATCGCGACCTGCCATTCGTAATCGATTGCTCGTGTAATCAATTAATTGCGTAATTTGGTCAACCGCAGAAGTGCGAAGTTTACAGTTTAGATTTTAAGAAACGTGCGCTCATGATTGTAAACTGTTCATGACCTTTTGTGTTCAAAACATAATCAACTGTTCGTATTCATGGGGATCATTATCTAATCGTTCCGTCAACATTTCTCCTTGTACGAAACAAATACAAGTACCGATTGACGAATAATCTGAGATTTACGAAATTATATTCATCATCTACTAAGTTACGACGACGGATTATGAATGCCGACTTTAAGCATTTCAAGCATCTCCTCGTCATCGGTAAATACGGCAAAGTGTCCGTTAAAATCGGGATCCTGCATAATAAATGATTTTACACACCTTGAGATGTATGATATCCACTCGGATATCCCACTCGCGTAAAGACGACGATTCGGTTATACACGTGTTAAATAACGCGATCCGACTGAATGCTCCACGAGCCAGCGAAATATTTTAATCACCCGACACGAACACGATAATCAACACGATACACGCGTGTTCCGCGATACGCGTATTGCTCGCCGGCTCGGGACACAATGAAGACATGCGAAAAAGTGCGCGACGCACGTCCGTAAGTTTGACCGTGAAGATCTTGAATGTTTAGGCACGCAATTGTTGTTATCGTACGGCCGCTCAATGTCACACGACGGCGGTGTTGTACACTTTTTCACGTATAACCGAAAATTTCTATTGAATGGTTAAGATATTTCGTTGGCCTTTAAATACTTCATCAAGTTCTCTCTCCCTTTCTCTCTCTCTCTCTCTCTCTCTCTCTCTCTCTCTCCCTCTCCCTCTCTCTCTCTCTCTCTCTCTCTCTCTCTCTCTCTCTCTCTCTCCCTCTCTCTTTCTCGTCGACATTGCCTAATTAACACGAATTTCCTCTATTAAATCGCTGTACGTGGGAATGTCAGTGCCACAAAGAAGCCAGGAGCAAGATGCTAGATCGAAGAATCAGAATAGACGACGCAGGATTCCGGCACATGGACAGTGATATATCACGTGTTTTCAAGTATGCAAATAATTAATAATTTTAACTTGAGATTATTGCGATAATTATGCTTGGAATTAACGCTGTATAAAATGGCGGCTCACCTTGTGTCGTCGACACGATCTCGCAATGGGGAAATTTCTCGTCGCATTTTTCAACGATATTTTAGCGACGACGCAATTTTATTGTCAGTTTCGCGACGTAGCGCCTTTCTTCTATCGGCATTGCTTTTATTTAAAAAGCGAAGAATAAAAAAGAGAGAGAAGGGGGGGGAGGAGTGAAGAAGGCTTTAGGTTCGCCCCATACTCTGGGACTTCGCGTCGCCCTCATAAACTTCGAAAACATTTCTTATGAACGGTGGATGTTCCGCGGGGGTGAGATTCCTGGCGGGTCTTATCATGGCAGAGATTTACTCGCAAGGACCGTGAGGTATAAAGTATTAAAATATCACGCGAATGGCGCATTTGGAAATTCCTGCTGCACCTAAAAGCAGGGACGCTCTCGCGATATGAGGATCTCCTCCTCTAGGCGGAATTTCCTCGCGGTAAGCAACTTTAAATTATTCGTGTTTTTACTCAGAGACTTTTAGCGCACATACATCGTTTTCTATTTTCTTTTATTTTCCCCCTCGTAAATGCCACTTATGATTTTATTATTTCCTACGCGTGCGAATGTGTGAAATTCGTGTGAAATTGATTACACTCTACGAAAAATATCGCTGTCGCGAAAACGATGGCCAATATCGATTTCAATGTCAAAAATTAAAAGATTACGAAAAGAGACATCAGGGAATCGGCAAATTTTGTCACGGAAGGATTAATCTTAAACCGCTCAATTTATAAATCAACAGTCTTTGCGAAATCTCACTCTACTTGCTCGTTTGGCCGATATCTCAGGCGAAGGACGCAATACGAGAAGTCAAGTTCGAGAACGCGGCGCGTGGATGCCTACGTTGCCCTTATTGTATCCGATCCTGTGCAAACGAGGACAAAGCAGCGACGGAAGAAGACGCAGGGGATGCGACGAGGTGCAGAGGAGAGAGCAAGCGTGGGTGCGGAAGGGTCGAAGGGGGCGCGAAGCGGCAGGAAGCTGCGGCAGGAGGGCGAGGAGAGACACGGCGCGTACCTCACCTGGCATACCGGGAGAGTATCGCGACACATTTTGATCGAATTCTTCTCGAGATCGGGGAATGCCGGTATCTCCTGTAGATATTATTACATATTTAGGCGGTACGTGGCGAGCGAAATATCTCTCTTTCTCTCTCTCTCTCTCTCTCTCTCTCGTTCTCTCTGTCCTCATCTATCTCTCAGTCTCTCTCTCAGTCTCTCTCTCTCTCTCTCTCTCTCTCTCTCTCTCTCTCTCTCTCTTCCTCTTCTCGCCTCGGAGAGATAATACACTTAGAGACGTATTCTCTCTCCTCTCTTCTCAACGCGGCGCGCGCGGGGCGTACATATCTGGCTCACTATACTTGCGCCACGCTGTATCCTCATAGCTCTCTCTCTCCTCTCAGACCTCGAAGGATCGCAGTTCTGCGCGATATCCTGCATATCTCGGCATACCGTCCCCGTCGTTTCCGACATTGTTCCCTCGGCCCGCCCCCCCTCCCCCCCTCGGCCCCGACCCGGACGCGGAATAATCCCACTCGTTCGACGTCTACCGGGCCCGGCTTCCCGGCCGGATTCCAGTCGATTCTGGTACCGAGCTTGTGCAGGGTGAGAAGCCCCGGCATCGGGCATGATAATTGGATGCTTTTCCGCTCGCCCATCCTTCCCTCCCCGACCCCGTCGCATCGTCGTCTCCGAAAAAGCGCGACGAAGAAAATGGAGGGAGCGTATTGATGGAGCCGTTGAAAAAAGCGCGTCACGAGGGTACAAGCTGGTGGTACAAGGTACAAACCGACCACACGATAGCCGCGGGAATTCCGTATCCTGCGGGAACATACGGGTATAAAGAGGAATGCCGGAAAAATTGCGCTCGCGTTAGAAAAGGTCTTTCTCACTTTTTTCATTGTCTTATAAAATAAATCTTTGGACTTGTGCCTCGTTTTCGGCTATCGATTATTGGCAGCCATATTTCAGTCGTTTTCATAACGAAATATTTCTCATGTAAAGTGCGCAAGATAAATAACGATCATTAAACCCGCAATAACCTCCGGAAAAGGATAAAGATAAGTACGAGATACTCGTATGAGAAGTTGGAGACTTTAGGTGACTGATAATCCTCTATAAAGTTTCTCATGAAAAATGAGTATGTTTTGTGCAACTGGATTGGAAAATCCCGGCATTAGGTGACGCGATAAACAGCAACTCGTAACATATTTTCGTCGCAACGTTATACCGCAACGACCGCGGCGCGTCCACGTCGATCACGCGCGTTCACGTTGATAGCCTGGTAACATCGAAATGCGTTTGTTGAATATTCAATGTCCAGTATCCGACCCCGGCAAACACGACAGCCATAAGCACTGGATTCTATTAGCAAACAGTCACGAGAACAATGGTGCGTCGATGCGATTCCGTCGATATTACAAGCGGCGAGTCGATGATCGAGCCGATAAATGCCGGCCACCTTCCTTCGGCACATTTCACGGCGAACGTCCGCGCAGGATACTATTCGCATGTCTAAATCCGTAGAACGTTCCTGTTCGTCCGTACAATTCCCAGGATTGTTACCGCTCCGAGAGACCACTTGCTGTTACACTCCTTCGTGCACGATCGGCTGCCTTAATTCGCATCGAGCGCTGTCCCGCATCGTAGCGCGTGAGTAGAAACGATCATACGTCAAATTCGAAACATTCGAAATGTCTCCGGGCTCTTTAACCCCTCAGCCGCTCAAGTCCCGCTCAAGTCACGCTCGAGTCAAAATCGAGCCGACCATTCGACCAAGAAAGTCTTTTCGTTTAAATTATCGCTGATTTCTTCTTTCCCAGAGAGAATCAATTCAATCTTACAAAACGCGGCTTCTCTAAAGTGCAGAAACCAATGTGCAGAAGCTGTTCGACTGTAGAAACGAAAACAGACATCTAAGACTTGGAAATTCGCGCGATAGGTGCCTCGAAACGTTCCGGATGCGAAAAATGCACGCAGAAAGCATGTCCGACATCGACAAAGACTTTTTCAACGCGTTGGCATTGCTGCACTCAACTGCGGAGAACAGCACCGAGGAACTTCGTCGGATGCTGGATGCTTGCATCGAGAGAAAGCACGGCCGCGGAAAGACTCTGGCCGCCAGGATGCCAAAGAGATTTCTGCACAACATCGAACTGCACGACGACGCGACTTCTGCGACGCGCACCACGATGAGACGCGAGGTCGCGGAGGGTTCCGGGACTGCTTCTCCCTTCGCGGTCGATCTGACGGAAAACATTGCGAGCGGAGGAACATGTCGAGCGGTTGATGCAAAAGCATTCGAGGTCGCTTACGAAGAGTGTTGCAACGACGAGGACGTCCCTAGGATCTCGATTCCCGACGAAGGATTATCCGTCGACGGAGCCGTGTGCAAGGTTCTCCTCGATTTAAAGTTCAACCGGCTCGTAATTCGCGCTCGTGACTGCTTGCTTTTACGCGCGAGATCGCGTCCGACAGTCAGGATCGTTAACGAGTCACCGCTAAGTGCGGGCTAACGACGAACTGATGAATTAATGAATTTTAATAATTTTAATAATTAATTTTCTATATGGCGCGCGCGCACAACAATCGAAGATATGTAACGGAGCGAAGCTGGGAGCGTTGATTTTGCTGGAGTGTCAAGAGTGTCAGGAGGCTTATCATCCGTTGTGTCATCAACCTCCGATCGTGGATGTCGACGTGTACGATCCTAGATTCGTGTGGCGGTGCAGACGGTGCGTCGACACGTCATCGTCGTCGGTGACTCCCTCGAAAATTAAAGTTATGGGAAAAGGTTACGTGGACAAAGTTCGACAAATTAACGTCGTCGAGGAAAAAAAGAATGTATCAGGATCGAAGACGCTCGGAAAAAGATGCGGCGTTTCTCTCGGGAAATATGGTACGCATCGCAACAATACGAACAATACGCAACAGTACGAATAGCGACAAAATATGCACGGTACTGCACTTTGGTAAATATAGCCGTTTTATAAAAATTCCAACCTCTTGTAGGCATCTCTCACCAAAGACGATGATTTGTACAAGGGCAGAATTTTTAGGTTAGATTCGTGTGATAAAAAAGTTGAATTTACTCGAGTGTCTCGCGAATAAGTATAAAATATTTTACAAAAGTCAAATATTAACTATAAGCAAAAATTACAGTATGGATGGAAGTTACCTGTCATTCATGATTTGAACTTCTCATACAGTCGACGTTACACATGTATCATTGAAGTCGATGACACTTAAAAACATGAGCGATCAAATTTAAACAGCAGAAGAACGACCAAGAGTGCCAGCTAATAGCTGGCTAAAAGTTGAAATTAACCGGAATTGGATTACTCACCGACGGGCATTCTATTAATGTTTTCTCAATTTTCGTCGTTTTTCCCGTTAGCGCGCGTATCAGACACACCTATTATTTACTCATTTATAATACATATAAATTGATCTGGTAGGTTAATTCACGTGATACGCGATGTGATCGACCGTTACTTTGATAATGGCGCCTCCGCGATAATGGCGCCTCGAGACTGAACGTAAAGTCGCGTTCGAAATTAAAATATTTCGTACGTACCGCCATATTTTCTGTTAACACTTCAATGTGCTGTACCACAAGTAACACTTTCTGTGCCTGCGATGAAACGAATATCCCGACGACATTGGCCGACGACAGAGCAATGTCGTAATTTGAGAAACTACCGCAGACGAGAACGATCGGAAGATAAAATTGGTAATAACCGAATGACTCACCGATCAATTTGCCGACAATGTCGTTGCCTGCTCGCCGCCGGTCGCTGCATCCTTCGACCACTCGCTTATTGTTATGTTTACTCGCTTATCGTTCACGTAATGGACGCTCACTCGATGCACGCTTGTTACACGGATGCACATCGACCGGAGAAACGCGGTTGAGCGTTATTCTGCGGAGGCGACATACGGCGATCACTCTCGTCACTTTCAATCAATTCCCGATAATGGCGTCACTAAGACTAAACGACGCCGTCGTCGCGTATCGGCGTGAAGTTGCATTCGTAACTCAAATTTTTCGCACGCTCGGCGTCATAGGTCGAGCTAGTTTCTCTTAGCGGCGCTGCGCTACACTTTCTGTACGTGCGAGGAATCGGGACGAAATTAAGCGTTATATATTTGAGGTCTCACGAGAGGAAGCGAGAAAGCGCAATAATACGCAAGGAGATACGGAAAATGTAGCCAAGAGAAATACACAGTGCGCCACGACGATTGTATTTCGATTGATACGTATTTCGGGACAGCAATGTTGCAATTACAGAAACGGCAACCGTGTCGTGAGCGTATGATCGCGAAAGTTGAGAATAACGATAGCCACCATACCTATTCGTCGCCACTGTCGCTGACTTGTCGCTTAATGTGATGTCTTGGGGCCATCCATTCGTTGTTATGCTTCTTCGCTTATCGCTCAGATATTCGACATTCAGTCATCGCTCGCTCGTTGCACGGATCCGGATCGATGAGAGAAACACTACCGACTATGATTCTACGGACTAATCGCGACGCGATGTACGACGACCGCTCGTCATTTCGGATCACTGTCGATAATGTCGTCACTAGAATAAACGACAGTGTCGTTATGTTATACGGCGTGAAGTTGCATTCTAATTTTTCTAATTTTTCGTACGGTCAATGTCGTACGGTCTCGGGCTTGTTTCTCTTAGCCCGCTCTAACTGCGCTGACGTCACACACTTTCTGTACTCGAAATTGTGGATGAGCATATATTTGTCGCTTAATAGGAGGAAGCAGGAAATAGAGATCGTGCAGAGAGAGAGTATAAAAAGTGAGACTGAGAGAGATAGGTATATCTCAACCGTATACATACCTCAATATCAATATCTCCGCCGTTATTTTAAAGGAACAGGATTATAATTAGACAAGCGGCAACCGTCACGACCACACGATCGAAACTTGAGATTAATGACAAGAGATTATTTGCCAACTCATTTACCGCTAATGACGCTGTCGTCCTCCTCCTCGACCGTTGCATCCCTCCGGACATTCTCCTCCCGTCGCACTTATTCGCGGACATTCAACGTTCTCTTATTGTTCTCAGATAAAAATCGAAATCGATCGGAGAAACACGGCTAATCACGATTCCGCGGATTATCGAATGCGATATACGGCGACCGCTCGTCACGTCGAACCACTTCTCGTCGCTGTGTCGCTGGACTATGAAATCGCGATCTATGGCGTGAAGCGCGCAGCATCGTTTGAATTTTATTCAAATTTGAAAAAACAACTATTTTTCCTTTTGTTACAAAAGTTTGCTGCAAAATATCCAACTTTTTGCTCTGTATAATTAAAATATTAATTTTCACGTTTGAAAATGCCAACATGCAAGTGCAATCATTAACATGTCATTAATTTTCATTACCGCGATGCTATAATGCACCTGCCTTACGTATTACTTCTCCTTCTACTCTCCTTCTTTTCGAGACCAAGATGTCTTCTGTATCACCGTCGAGCGTCGATGATCCTCATTATCGTCCGGTTATGACCGGTAGGATTGCTTATAAATCAAACAAATGAGATATAAAATCGCATTCCTCGCTCCATCTTAAATAGGCAAAGTATTAATTTGACGCATAGTTGCAACAATCGAGGAATATTCAATGTAGCATTTTTGCGCAAAGCAAAGGTCGCTGTAGACCCGCCATTCAATTGCACTGTATTATTCTGAGATGTTGCGTACGCAAAATAGCGACAAGAATTATAGCTTTCTTTTTTTTTTTTTTAATTAACGTTTCATTCGCGAAATCCCGTGCTCTGAAATTATATTTTCGTTTCGCGCGTTAAATGCGCGCTTGCGTACGTATCGCGGAATGAGGTCTTGGAAAATGCAACGTAAGAACCGCTTTGTCATTGATAAATAAGCGTTTATATAAACGTAAAACCTGCTCGGTCCAGTGACATTAAAGGCGTCAACAAACTCACCCGTCCGGTCCGACCGAGCGTTCTACGCTACGTAAAAGGTGACATACAACAAAAATACATGTATAATGTTTGCAGATTCGGTAGGAAGCAGAGGCACGCAATTACGAGATTCTCCGTTGTTCGCGGAAGACTTGGCGGTTCCCTCGCAGAAGATTGGACTATCGTCCGTTTCGATGCAAACACGAAAGAGGATTGGATCTAAACTCTCCGTCATCCGCGCACTGACCAAATAAAAAGTACGCAGGTTAGATGAGTTTTCTTATTATTGCTTATATAAAAATGTCAGAAATGGCGTCGCTTTCAAATCCTGTTGTAAAGGTCAAGGACAAAAAGTGCAGATAACTTTAAGGAGTATAAATGTTTCTATAAATGTTAATGTACATGAATAAGAAAAAAAAAGATGTTGCATTTGGATCGTTATGATTAAAAAATATTTGCGGAGATCATTATGTGCATTTAAGCTATTAAAACGTGAGCTCAGCTAAAAGCTATGCTCGTTCTAAAAGAAAAAAAGGAAAAATTAAATCGTATTGTACAACATCGTTTATTCGGATAGATCTCAGTAAGAAACTAATGCTACTGTATTGTTGTGTATGATAGTTTTTATTTGACAATCGTTCGTTACGCGATACAAGTAGAAATCATTCTTGCTCGTCGAAACCAACTCGTTACAAGTCATCACATACAGAAACGCTTGAAATCGCACGGCATAGGGCATCACTCGCCCTATGAACCGATTACAAGAAATATACACTATATTACAGCGTCATGTTAATTGGAAATATGGAGTATCGGTGTGAACGTTACATCGAACCATGCTTGACCGATCGCGGATAGGAAAATACAACTATTTTGTATAATGAGGACGTAAAATCGTTAATGAACCACGAGAGTGCGAGGATACTCGAGCCTCCATCCAATTTTACGATATGGTCGAAGGAAGCAACTTATTAAATTCGGTCACCCGTGAGGACGCTCGAAAGTTCTCTCGTTCGTGTCACACGGTAGCCATTTGATCGCGCTCATTTATTCTCTACATTAAGGTCAACAGAGTTCAATTACCTTCGCCAATGCCGCAGGTTTCAGTTGGATTTGAAGCTCGATTACGCTCATTCTGATTTACATGATACACAAGCCGCGGCGGATAAAAATACGGTACCAGAGAGACGTTGGGTGTAATTTCGTTTTCTATATCATAAAAGTTTTGCATTCGGTTGTCTCGAAATTCGTCGCAAAAGATAAAAATACGTATACATGTTACATAAAGTAACGATATCTATCGGGACGATCGCGCTTGCTTTCGATAACGGATTCTTCTCTCCCTTTTCCTCTTTTCTTTTCATCTTTGAGAAAAGTGTTATTAATCCTGACTCCTTCTTTGAAAAAATTTTCAAATCAGATTAAGGATAGATTATATTATTAATTAGCTAGATTTACCACTCTCTAGTATTTGTCTGATTAATCAATTCTCTACTTTAATGATAATCCCTAAGTACATAAATTTGCTACTCGATTCATCGTTAAATACGAGAGTAGAGAGATGATTCGGGAAAACAAGTTCTGTGATAATATACATTGGATTACGTCTTGATGCACGTGCGATGTCTTATAAATCGTATATTAAAAAGCTCGTACTTGCATACAAGTGAAACGTAACGGAATTTGGGAAATTTAAGAAACAACGAAGAGGTGGGCATCACCCGGTGAAATCACCCGGTTTTAAGAAAAAACAAAATCCAGACTGCGTAGAACTGTTTGTGCTTATTATCACAGAATTGTCAATTGCCCAAACGGTTTATACATATCGCGAACGTATGTAGTTCCTTCGTCAGATCGTAGCGCTTTATCGATAATTTCGATATACAAATGACAAATTGGAAAAAAATGTTTTAGTAGCAAAATCATTTCAAAAATACGAGTCGCAGAAAAATAGCTGCCACTCGATAGTGAGTATTTGTGTAAAGATTTAGCTTCAAATTTTTTTTCTTTTTTTTTGCTTTAAATTGCCATACTAATAAAGGGTGGGAAAGTCGTCATACCATCTTTTTTGTTTTTTGTTTTTTTTTCTTTTCAACGTGCCATTGATATTCACTTTGTCATTTGTACTAGATGACTGTGTGTGTCGTGCTGGCGTTATTTACAGCAAAGGAAGAGTTTCGAGTGATAAAATGTCTCGACAGATATGTTTAATTATTATCGCCAATTTGTGTGACGAGTTTTTAAATATGTCCCTTAGAACATTCACCCTCAAAAAAGCCTACCAATGTGTAGGCAAATTTTTACATTTCGTGGTATTAAAAAAATATTTTCAGAGAACGCGGATATAATGCATCGAATAATTTCTTTCGCGCTTTTAACACTTAAATCTCGTCTTTCGCTATTTCTTCTCGAATCATTCCGAGAATGTGCTAATATCTTAATAATAAATTCAAGAATATCGATCGAAGTCGTGATTGTAAAAGAGACTGTTGCTAAATTAATGCTTATCAGCACTCTTCGCGGAAACATTACTTTGCACCAGTAACGTTCGCAAAATTAACATTGGTTATACATATAAATATATATATTTTTTTTCGTTAGTTTCGAACACATAACTTTGAAACCTCTCCTCAAACGAAAAATCCCAACGCGAGAGGAAAACTCAGTTACCAAAGTTTCTCATTTCGTTATATTTTTATCTTGCAACTTATTTCTGAAGATTTACCGCTACACTTCTAGAAAATTTTCTTACATACTATCAATTTCTACTTATATATAAGAGACATTCAGTATATAACTTCTTTTGACAAATGACTCGTGCCTTCGATATCCCCTTATCTAAAACACATGCAAGTTGCATCAGAAATTTAAGCGCATCTGCTAAATTTAATTGCAGTTTTTCAAAAGGATGCAAAGTTAATTTTTCCTGCGCGAAGAAACCTTTAATTACACACATTATAATATTTATTTGAATTAAGAATTAAAAAGAGAAAAACGCAGAGAAAGATAATTTATTTAAGATAAACCACAATGGTGAAAATATTTGCAAAGTGAATTTGCAAGTGAAGTTTACTTGAGACTCGTCCAAATATCCATCAAGTGCCACCAATAGCAGATGCAATTTCTGGTGCAGTTGTACATGTATTCCGAGAATGCTAACGTAGACTAATGATCCACCGGAAAGAACGTTCCATTCTGATCAATGCCAGCCGTGTTGGCATTCTCTAATATTCATATCCCTTTACGAGAATGAGAAATTTGCATTATGCAGAAAAAATTGTCAATTATTGCTACGAACGTTTTTAGAGAGCAGTGGTCGCAAGGTGATTGCTTGACAAAGCGTGAGATACAAGTGATCCGGTAAAGACCTTTCGAGACTGTTACGTATTAACATGCATAACGCGCGCATCTCCATATGAAAACCCGTAGAGTCCACGATATATCTGTAGTGCGTAACTTGGCACTGATTAGCGTCCGACAACGGTCTCTTCTCGGTCAATCAAACGTGACTACCGAGTGCATTCGTTCTTATCGTGATGTGTGACGTAGCGGTACAAAAACGACCCGAAGTATTTATAATATACAGTAGGAACCGTCAACAGATATTATGCTCGCGTTACAGACCGTTACCCCTTCTGTAATAATCACGAAGACCCTCTGCTAAGAACTGTGATCTTCGCGCTATTGGCTACTCGCGACAAACAACAGATCTGCTGAGAAACTAGCGATATAAATGTTTGCTGCGACGGTTTGCTGTTCTTTTTTCTTCTCACGATAACGATATACAAGGAACCCTAACAAAAACTCCTCATATCAAAATACGCTACAGAGTTCATGTCCGTGTGTAAAAATGTGCAAAAATGATACCGTTGAACTGCGAGTGCTATCTAGAATCACACTGCGACTATCGGCGACTCTTCTCAACGAAATTAACGGGGGTTTCAATCGTAAGATCTGATAGAAACTCTCATCGTATGACAATTCTTCTTACAAATATGCATGAGAGATTTAGATATCGATCTTATCTCGAACGCACGTCCGAGTGTGTGTTCACGTGTGACGATATTGTATCGAGTAATGCGGCTACTTTGAATGAATTTTGCCGGTGTTTCTCGGTGGTTGTTGCATTATTACACTATCGTAATGCTATGTGCAAACATAGGAGCGATTATTATTATCCTACGTTTGCAGCACGTTAACGCCGAGCGGAGCTGCTTCGTGAACATTAGCGTTAACATCTCGAAATCATCTATACAGCGTGTGAATCGACCTCTTACAAGACGAGTGAGTAACTTATGTTGACGTGTCTACCGTAAGATTTGCCAACAAGACGCAACTGTACAATGTCTTTGTCATTCGACGCCATATGACGCACGTTCATTTCATGTACGTGCGATTGTCTCAAACACTTTGCAAAGTCCATCTGACGTAAATGCAGCCTACAGTCTATAATACAATTCATGACAATCTATAATATAAATAAAGTAAAAGAGTACCACAAAGCGCGGATAAAAGATATTGCGACTAGAATTAAATACGTTCGACTAGAATTCTCACCTTGCAAAAGTTTCTATAAAAAGAAGATTTAAAAGTCTTTTATACAAGTAATCTCGCGTATCGCGCAAGTAATAATATTCAACTTACGACAACGTTGATTGCCGTTTGTACATAGGATAGTTGCTTAACCACTGTGTATTCACTACATCATAATCATATATTCCTCTATTACTAATTGATATTAAAAGGCCGTTACGTATTTCACCGTTCGGAAAGTAACCAGTGCCGCATTTTGGAAGCGCTAGAGATTTTCCTTCTTAATTTTCGTTTTCAAAATCAAATCCCTGATACACTCAGGAGAGAGTACTTGCTGGCCATTGCAATCGATAGCGCGAGAATGAGGGTAAAAGTAAAGATTAAAAATATGCTGTTTAAAATGAGTATTCGCTCGTCTCGTCAGAAGCAAATCAAAATGATGATTCTCGACGACAGTGCGCGATGCAATTTTGTAAATATCACAACAAGAAAGCAATCGCGAAATTGCGCAATGTCACATGTTGTGCCGAATGTTTACCTCTCGAGAATCGGGATTTATAGCACTTCCATATAGAGGCAATAGGCACTTCAGTATGACGATGAGAATGATGAGTTATCATAAAGGGTTAATCTGTCTTTGTGGCGGGTAAACCGTGACCTACGACCAGTTGTTCCATCGGAAAGTCCAGAACCACGGTGACGTGAAATCCCATGTTCGCGAAAGCTATCACATACTCGCATAGCGAGAACCAACTAAATGCTGTTCGAAATTGTAACAAATATTATTATCTTCTTCTCTCGCGGATATATCTCGTTTACGCTTATATCTTATTGCTCCGATTTCTTACCCAAATCATGACACAGCAGTCGATGTTTCAAGAAAAAGATAATAAGACCGATTGTACTGACAAGACTCATTACTAAGAGTGCCTGTTTGTACTGAAGACTTTGTGCTTTTGGAGTTATTAGGCGACCCAATCTTACAGCGGTCAGCATATACATGAGCGAACTAATCATGAACACTATGAAAATTTTTTCATGCACCGCTGAAAAAGATTGCACATCGTTTGTTAAAACCGACACTGGAACTTTTATGCTTTTATGAATATTTTACATATGCTTGTGCTATAATGCAGCATGTTATAAAATGAGCGACAGATTCTTATAAAATTGCAGAGTCACACTTACAGTAATTCTCCCTATTAGAAACATATGTTACACCACTCAAAGCTGCTACCTCGGCAATGTTTAGCCAGTAGCACAAATTCAGGAGCCTACTCCCCATAATTTTTAGAGGCACATCTTCAATGCTTTTAAGTATGTTGTAATAGTAGGAGTGATAAACACTGGCTATTACCAGTCTAGGACCAATATGTAATGCTATGCTAACACGCCATAGATATCTTTGGGGAGACACACCAGTAATGGCTGAGATCGATGGAAGGATATTGTAGACCTGTAATGAACATATAGGTGTGAATCTTATTGTTACAGACATTGTTTATTCAATGACGGCATGTATAACAATTTCGCTTACCTTACAATGAGTTTCATGAATATCATCCTGTTGGAATATATATGCTGTGACAAAACAGAATAACAATGATGCAAGTGGTAAGCCAACTGTTGCCAAACACAGTCTCCTAAATGATAGTGCAAGATATACATAAATTTTGTTGCTTCCCACATTGTTCAGTTCCATATTAGCTGCACTGTCTAACATTCTGGCATTTGTGCGTGAAGCAACAACATATGACTCAGAATAATGCTGAGTCAGACTCTTGTGCGATACAGGTACATTGTGCTCTTCTTTAGAATCACACAATCATCCTTGGTATTATTCTATGTGCCATAATAACCCTAATATAGAGAAATTACAAATTAGTTTTTATTCACACATATAAGTAATATCTTTGAAAATTGCTCATCAGCAATTCAATTAAATAGACAAGCTCTATTTCCTAAGAATCAGCAGATATTATGATAGCGTAGGATCTAATTGTAGAGGGATGATACATTCTGCAAGCAACGACTTCCTTGATAGAGATAAATCTGCACAGCAGCATTAATAACTAAACATTGCCTCTTTTTTATCACTTTGTAAATTGTCTGATGAAGAATATAGGGTTTATATCGCGCAAATGCAGACAAAACGTGCAACAAGCGCATCTAGATGTACCAAACTATCTATTTCACCGATACGGTATACAGAAATGCGTTTGGTGCAGAATTAAATTATATAATACGTAGCGTTATATATACATATCTTTTTTACGAGTGTGAATTAATTTCTACCACATGTACTACATGTTAATAACTCATTATCTATCGCAATTGTATCGTACTGTGTCGACGCTACTGATTATTTCCGCGATTGATTTTACAAATAACCTACTTCCTCTATAAATAGCGAGCAAAAGGGCGAAATCGCGGCTGCGAATGGGACTGTAACCGCCCTTGGGACTTTACCGTGGGCGATTTTCCGTATGCTTCAGCGTTTGCGTTATCGGAGCGTCTCTATTTCGATGGGTCGCGACGAGGAAACGTCAACGTGCGCAACTGTCAAAAGTAACGACGATTATAGGAATGCGCAATGCCGAGGCACTGCAGACTGACGCCCGCTAATGAATCGCGATCACGGTGAATCACAATGCCGGACCATTAACGTATAAGGAGTGGTAGAAATTATAATTGAGTCACATTGATGAGGCGAAAGATCGCGTAATTTACCTTTTTTCCGCCTTACAATTATCGTTTCGTTCACCACGAACGTTCCGATCCCTCTTTGTGATGTATACAACGCCGTGTACATATACCGACCGCACTCCCCACACTGATACTTTTCTCCCGCCTCTCTCGCTCGATGCTTTTAGCGGAACTTTTGAATTCATTGCGCACGATTTACGAGTAAAGGTTTCTTTCATGCCAGTAAATATATGATCTTTCTCTATCGAAATACCGTTTGATTGATTACTATTCAAATTTAAAATTACTTCAATGATGCATAAGAAAAATGTTATATTTAATTTTATTTCATACACATATACATGAACGTAATTACATTTCTATTTACTACGAACTCGATGTACTCGTTCTTTTGGCCGATCTTCTTCTTCCAATTCATATTCAATTTCCACCCTTTGTTGCTTTTGCTTTTGTACTTTTCCTTTCTTGACAACTTTCGGCGTTTTCGTTCTCTTACTCGTAGATGGTACTATTTCCTACATAACGGAATATTGACGATTTATATCAGAACTCGAAATAGCAATTTTCTCTCAAACCAATGATTTCTTACCTCAATATCGCTTGCTTCAGATTCAAAGCTGTCTGATAATTCAATTTCTTCCTTTTGTCCTGAGTCACTATCTTCGTCCTAAACAATACATTTTTGTAAATGAATTATTCTTTGGCGAATGATTTATTTTTTTCACTTACCATGACGAAATCATCGTCGTCGTCATCGTCATCTTCATCATCACTTTCAGCTTCAACATATTCAGGACCATTTTGTTCTGCTTCCTGTTCATCTGCTTCCAATTCCATTTCTAATTCTTTTTCAATTTCCTTCTGTTGTTCTTCTTCCTGCTCACTTTCTGCCTCACTTTCACCATCAATTTCAACAGCTTCCACAGCTTTGTCAAATACTCTTTGTGGAAAGTTGTAAATATCATTGTACTGAAACATATCAAAAGCGTTATACCTCAAAGATATATATAAGTATTAAAATTATACACATATACGCTAATCATATTACCATCCCCTGTTTTAATCTGTCCATAAGTTGCTTTTCAATTGCAGTTTCTAATCTGGCAGCAATTAAAGCCTTCTCTTCCCTACGTCTTTCTCTTCTTTCAATCTTTCTCTGAAGAGGTACAATCTTCTTCTGCCGCCTTAATTGAAGTTTCCTCATACGGATGAGATACTGTGTGATCTTGACAAACCTATGCTTACATTTTGCCTTTATAAAACTAGGCCAGTAGAGCAGGTTTTCATTTATTTGCTGTATTGCTTTTTCAAAGTTTCTGGATAGCTTGACTTTTTCCCACATGTTTTTGGGTGTATGTATTCTGACAAAAGTTAATGCATTATATGTAAAAACATTTTCTACATATATATATATATATATATATACACAGAAAGATTTTCATGTATAACAGAATGACAATCAAATAAGAATTTGATGACAAAAATAATATTTCTGTTAGAGAAACTGAAATTTCTCCAACCATTTGTTTCAATATTTATATATATTAAAACTTGGTTGGTGAAATATCTGCAAACAATTGACTGAATAGGAACTTCATAATATTCTGTTTTTGAAATTGAGTTTTGTCCAATCCATATATAGGTAACAGGAAAAATCCAGTTATATTAAAACAAGTTGTTTCTTCTATCGATTAGAACAGAAATTATCTTATGATTACCTTTCTGCTGTTCTCATATAAAGATAAATAACACCGTTTTCTTCCCTAATTGTAGCATATTGACTATTTGCAAGAGGGCACGCTGCCCTGCTGCATAGCCCTGTAAGATTATATTCATTCCTACAAAACTTCTGGGTTTTTGTGCTGCAAAGTACATTATGAATTTTATAATTATGAATTTACAAGTCATAATTTTTTTAAAATCCACTATTACTTAGCTATTATTAAAATATGCACTTACTTTACTTTAAAGGAACAAAATGATTTATTAATAACACTCCACACAACCTGTAAAATCAGATTAAGATTACAAAATTATCGTTACAGCTTAAAATATCGTTCATTTTATTTTAATTCTATACTTACATCGTCATGTTGCATTTTGTTTCACTATAGTTTTTTTTTATAAAAATAAATTATCTCACAGTATTGTGTGAATAATCTGTCCTCTGCGTGCTATCAAGCAAACACGTGTGTTTTAAGAATATATATCCAAAGGAGAGATGCCATGGGCCGCTTTTAGCCAATCCCAGTGTGAGACGCCCTCTGTACAACCGTGCACATGAACTACGATGCCAATGTCCACGATTTTTTTCTGATTTCCCCCATCACGCACGCACACATAGTCGGCTCAGTTTATCCGTGTGGATCACGCGCTCGGTAATCGTCAGCGCGCCGAGCGACAGAGAGATATCATTCCCTCCTTTTCGCTCTCGTGTTCGCTCAGCGACGCGAGCGAGAATATCTTTCCCTCTTTCTCGCTCTCGTTCTCACTCAGCGACGCGAGCGAGGAGGGAATGATATCTCTCTGAGCCGGCTATGTGTGCGTGCGTGGTGGAGGAAATCAGAAAAAAATCGTGGACATTGGCATCGTAGTTCATCTGCACGGTTCTACAGAGGGCGTCTCACACTGGGCTCGGCTAAAAGCGGCCCATGGCATCTCTCCTTCTTCTCTCTGTATTCAAAGATTTGATAAACCATTTATTTCAACAGGATGATCCAGAGATGGCAGCAGCGATACAATTTCAAACCACAGTACTCGTTGGTAAAATAGGAACTTGGAATCGCCATACCTGGCCCGCCATTTTCTCATCGTGTTTTCGGTTCCGGAGCTGCAGTTTGATTCTTCGATATACTGAAAATGGATATTTTATGTCGGTAAGTATAATATATATTGATTAATTCACGTATTCTGTAGAAAGTTAACAAAAAGATTTTGTAAATAGATGTTTTAACGTACTTGAAGTTATTTTACTTTCGGCGTAAAGTTCGACAAAGAGAGAAAGAAAGAGAAGGAACGAGAAATGAAAAGAAATACAATTATGACGGAACATTTTATATTAAAAATAAAAACGTTTTACTTTGCGAATCAAATACATAGCGAAACATTGATGAATCTCATTCCACTTGGAAAAGATTATATTTGAGTCGTATTTGTATCGATATCTTGAACATGAAGTAATTGTCAGCAAGATATAACCTCTCATTCCATTATTGTTGCAAAAATAGAAAGAATAACTGTTGAAAGACAGTACGGGTTGTGTAAACAGCTATCGGGAATAGCTATTAAGTACAATTCCGAGAATGATGTCGGAAGGGTTGCTTATCGCGGAAGCAGCATGCATCCCCCCGCGAACTAATCACTGGATAATGGAGAAATTTATATTCATGCAGAACGCCACGTTGTCACCGCCTCGATACTTCCGTGACTCTCCAGCCATAGCTGAGTCAAGTTTCTTAATTAAGAAACCGTCCATCTCTCTCCGCTGCCTCTTCGTCTTGCTGTATCGGTCTCGCAGATTTACCACGACGACACGAAGGACGTGAAAGATTTCGCTCTTGGTAAGGTAAGAGAAGAATTAAATAAGCACTCTATCGATCTCGTGTAACGAGTGGTAGTTATCGCTGCTGGATCTTTTTTTCTGGATAACTTCTTATAGTATTAATGAATATATAATGAATATATTTTACGCGTTTACTTTTTGAAATCACCGACTGCAAATATTAGAAAATCGAAAAAATAACAATTTTTCTAAAATAATTAAACGTCAGGAATCAAAAAGTTCTTTGGTGCCGACGTGGATACATTGCGGTGTCTCGACTAATTTTAAATCGAATAATGACTTCTCGCGAATCTTTTGTCGCGGTAAAAGCTTCCCATCTCTACATTAAATAAAATTTATCCAGGACGAAAGAAGCGCAAATTGAAAAGAATCGGTGAGAATTTACTTCGCCAGCTCGTTATATTCGTTTACACGCTACTTCTTCGGCTACACGTGTTTCTTTCATCGGGTTTCTCATTATGGAATCTCATTCGATTTAAAGATAGTCGCCGACTGAGAGACACGCGCGTCGATACGTAACTTTGATACGTTGACAGTCGAATATCCAGTAGCTGATGCCAGCATCCACGTGTGCGGGACAATAGTGAAAAACGGAGGCGGTGAGCGCGCGCGGGGAAAGACACAAAACACGGTGCGTATTCGCGAGCCCAGGGGCGTTTGCGCGTTTCCAGGCACCCCGTTTTCGAGAAAGAGAGAGAGATAGGAGAAGAGGGGAAGGGAAAGAAGAGAAAGAGAGGAGAGGGGGAGGAGAAAGCGAGCGAACGCTTCCGCTTGATCGCCCACATACATTTTCGTTAAAACGCGCGTGTTCCGTCCGTTTCATTAATTTTAATGCCCGCCGAGCCCGTTCTGTTCATTTCTGCGCAACATATGAATATACCCGGCACCCGCACCCTCTCTCTTTCGCGCGCGCGCGCGCGTGCGCGCGCGCTTTCTAGTCGCTCTCTTCATCCCTGCGAACGACACGCGCGTTTGCTGTGCGTGTATCTGTGCGTGTTACCGTATATATTTGTGTGTACGCGCGCGCGCGTGTGATGTGTATGTGTGTGTGTGTGTGTGTGTGTGTGTGTGTGTGTGTGCACGCGCGCGAGGCTGCGTACGCGAGCGAGCAACGAGCTCGCTCATGCGAACGCGGTCTCCTCCCCCTCTACCACCCTCTCCTCCCACGGGTTGGTTGATATTAATTAATAATCAGAAACAGATGCGGCCTCAGCTCACGCCGCGCCGCGCCGCTCTGCTCTGCGCGTTTCGAAACGATAATTATTTAAGTTCCTCCTCTCTCTTTCCCGCCCGCTTTCTCCGTCTGTCTCTTTCTTTCGCTCTCTTTCTCTCTGTCGAGCGTCTCCGGCGCCTCCTCCGCCTTCTTCGTCGTTGCTCCGCGAGTGCGGCGTGCTAATTAAAGAGCATTCGCCAGCGAATTTTACGCGACTCGCTCCCTGGCATGCTGCGTTCCGCGCAGACCGCATCATCGTCTCTCTTCCCGCGGGATTCACGCGGACCGCAAGAACACCCCGGAGACCCGGTGCCACATTTTACATTCGAACCGTACCGTTCAAAGACAAGGAGCGCGCAATGCTGGGGTTTTCTCGTCGGGTGTTTGCGATAGATTCATACTTGAGAGCCGAGTGAGCGCGGAAAAGAGGATGTTGAATTTTACGCGGACCCGATAAGAGATTCGATTGTTCCGAGGGGGGAACCAAGATTTACCGTCGCAAAAGTCCTCATTACTTTCGCCTTTGAGATGGAACGTTCAATGCGCATTGCTGTACGCGGGATTCCGAGAGCGTAAAAGTTTTTGAGAGTGCGAGTTTTTCGACACTCTCGCGATTCACACATTCCTCGTGAAAAGGAGAAAAATCCATCGAAAGCGCACAAACGACAATTGATCAAGTCGACGACGAATCGCTCGCGCGAGTGTCCGAGAAATCAATATCGTGGCCGCCGATACGGGTGTGGAAAAATCGTCGGAAGTTCTTCCACGAGGCGCGCCAGAAGGAAAATCGAGGGTAAGAAGGCCACCCGAGGTGGTGGCGGACGGTAGCTGTAGAAGCGGCGAGCAGGACGCGCCGCCGTCCTCCCGGATGGCGCTTAGCCAGCGACGCTCTCCCAGTGTCTGCCTTAATATCCGCCACTAACATTATTTCATAAAAGTATTACTATAAATCCAAACTCGCGTTATTTAAGCGCAGTGCCTCCGCGCGCGCGGGATCTCACCAGAGAAACCACCTCTCCTGCAGCCAACCAGCCAGCCAGCCAGCTAGCTCTCTGCCTCTCTCTCTCTCTCTCTCTCTCTCTCTCTCCCCCCCCCGGGGGTACCCAACCTCTCGTCCTGCCGGCGTTGTCCCATCCCTCTACGAAGTTCGCCTTACATTATACCGGGCGAAGGAGCGCGGAGGCAAGTTTTGCCACCCTCTTTTCCCTCCGTCACATTAGAGATATATTATGCAGATAGTGGAGGCGCCGCCGGCCGAGGCGAAGCACTGGTCGGAGACGATGGGAGCAGCGCGGCCGCCGCTACGGGCGGTGCCGGGGGCTGCGGAAATTTAAAACTTTATTTACCCTACGCGTCGAACGACTTTTCGCCATTCCTCGCCCGGCTCCCTTCCCTCTTTCCTCCTCTTGGCGTCCACCCGCCGGATGTATGCGCCGACCTGCACTCTCGTTACTTCGCGCTCACTTATTTATATGAGTTATCGTATGGATAGTCGGTGAACAGGCGCGCGCTGTGAAGATGACGGGAATCGCCCGTGTGCACTTCCGCCGTAACAGCGGCGGCGATCGAGACGCGAGATCTCGACGCGGCTGATACGTGAGTATCGTGGTTTGTTCGCGAGGTAGGCTGCTCGAGATGCGTCGCGTCGAGGGCAGTAAAAGGGGGCTGCGTGTATATTCGGCAGATAACTATCGTTTGAAAGTAAGTGAGGTGAGAGATACGAAGAAGAATTCACGGTAGCATATTGTTCCGGTGATAGCCGGTTTATCGCCAACGGGATCTCCTGCTCGCTCGTGTTTCACGCACGCCACGCGCGTTTGTTACGCGCGTAACTCCGCTCGGAGATTAATTAGCGCGAATCGTCGGTGCGAGTCAATAAGGTCAGCGAAACAAATTAAGACACCTACAAGCTCACACGCGGAGGTGCGTGCATTCGTAATATAATTCATCGATTAGCAATTCGCGTTTGCCGTGCCGTGCTCGGACATCGCCATCTTCGGTCACCGCGGACCTTCAGGTTTTTCGCGCCTGGACCGAGTTATTACGCGGACTCTTCGATCCTCGCAAAGGCGCAAAGGCGCGAGGATTCGATTTACGAGAGTCGGGACGGCGAATTCGGTAAAAATCCGAGGAAACCGTTTCCGGTTCCGGCTCTTTGAACTTACTCGTTCGGGACCGGTACTTACACCCTTCGTCGAAGGCGACACTTCGACGTGATTGCGAGCGACGGAGGGTGAAGAAAAAGGGAGGGGCAGAAAAAGGAAAACTCGGCCGCCCTCTTTTACACTCCCGCCCCCGCTTTCTCGAGAAGGAGGGAGAGAGTGAAGACGGCGGCTGAGAATGAACGTGGCGGCGACGGCGACGGCGACGGCGACGGCGACGGCGACGGCGACGTTGGTGGAGGGAACGAAGGAATAAACCGACGGTCGGCTGATTAGTCGCGAGACTTTGCCCGTTTTCACGATTTTCTCGACTCGATTCCGTCGAGCGTCGCCGATTCACAGCGGAAGGAAGATCCTTCGGCGTCGATGAAGAGAGAGTGACGGGGATGGGTGGTTCTTCTTCACCCTCGGCGACGCTCATTCCGCGCTGCTTTCTCCCTTGAGCTGAAAAAGAAACGGATTCGGGAGCAGCAGGATAAAAATAAAAGCGACGCGAAACAAAAAGCGGGACAATCGGTTCTAGCCGCGTTAAATCAGAAACAGAAGATGCAGAATCGGCATAATTTCCTTCGAATTTCGAAGACATGCGAGAACGATTCCCGCAAAAAGAATAGATCTCTGATCCAAAATTCGTGTAGACTCGAGTAGGTTAGCTAAAACATTCCAGTAAATAGACGATAACGACGAAATTTTGTAATCATTAGGAGAGATATTTGAAAGACATTTTGAAAATCGAGAAGAAACATAGAATGTAGCGTGCAAAACGTGTTAATTAGAAGTCTGAAGAATATTATTACTCAAACAGACTTCAATAATTCATCAATGCATCGCATTTGAAAATAACATTTGAATGACATTTCTCAAATACAGTTTTCGAGACGTGATTTAAACGAATGAAGACGCGAGACATCTCCACATCTCAGAATTATTCGCGATATCGGGACGTTCTGTACGAATATAAGGTGTTATTTTTTCGACGACGTGGTGTTCTTCAAAAATGCACAATTTCAGGCCCTCCGGTACTGGTCGACGCTCATTAATTTTTCGCGCTCGTCCTGAGCTCATCCCGCACACGCGTTAAGACTCGTTAGGACCTTGAGCGCCCAACGAGGCGAACTCGCGCGAACGAGAATCGCTCGCTCGCGCGAGCAACCCCATAAATATTGTAGCGACGTGAGCCGCAGGGGAGTTTTCTGACTCGTTGGCGCTAATGCGAGCCGCACCCGTTGCCTCTGAAACGCGCACGGCCTGCCCTTTGCCCATTTTTGAAAACCCTACGAAACCAGGGCTAAATATAGCTTTGCGCGGACCCCTCCGTCTAAATGACATTGACAATTTGCTAACGAGCCATGTTTTGACCTTACAGCATACATTAACCAAAAATCTACGACGTACAACGATACCCGAAGTTATGAATATGAAGTAAACGCGCCCGATATTACTGCTCGTTTATTGCCAATATTGTTTGCTATATTTTTGGCACACGCGTAAAATAATGCACAAAAACTTGTTGATACAACACGTGTGTAAGTACACACACACACACACATTTTTCCAACTTTATCTTATGAAACATATGCATATGCTCGAGTCGGTTATAT